GCCATAAACAGCTAAAACGAGATCCTTACAGCGACAACTATTAGAGAATTGCGAAATAATCGTTAATATCTCGAAAACTGCACGAGTCATGTGCAAATGGTACATTGCATTGTTATAAATGCAGGAGTGATTTAATACGAAATAGACACCTAGTAAGTATTTATACAAAGAAGAAAAAACTTAAAACTCGAATTTACTGGTTCTGAATTTCCTATATTATCATGTGACAAAATTGTCTAAGGAAAAAAAAAACTTCTATAGCTATCATGTGATACCCATGAACAAAGCTTGAGAAAAGTTTGAAAATGTAAGAGAAAAAAATAATGCAACCAACTAGATCGTAATGGATTAATATACCCACAAAATGGCTCAACGTTGAAACAATTTTTAAGGGAATTTAAAGTGTATGTGTTATTCCTAAAGTGCAGAAATCAGTTATTCTTCAGATAAATTAGTGTGATATGTGGAATAGTAACCCCAAACCCTTAACGTGGTTACTTCAAATGCGGAGTAGTAATAGTCATTAGTAACCCCAAACACAGTATATTTTATTATAATCCACGGAAGAAAGTGAGAATAAGACGTGTATTACTGAGAAAACATTGACAAATTAAGCAGATAATTGGAAGGAAAAATAATAATAAGCATTTAGGCAATAACCAAACATTTTTCAAATACTCTGTGTACATTTTTACAAAAGGAAACACTTAAGAATAAAAATAGAAATTTTTTTGTTAATTGTTTCGTTGAAAAGGAATTAGAAATGGAGAAGATAACGATGATTGAAAAATAGAGTTTATGTGATAAAATTTTTATTCGATTGCTGAAGGTTTTTATTTTTTTATTTTCTTAAACATCGCAATTGAACTGCAGTGATTAGTTTCCATTAAAGAATTTGTAATTTCTTTTTCAATGGAAGTTAGCAAACAGGAACAAGCATAGCTATGGTTTGCCATCAAAAATGACCTCGTAAATTTTTTATTAAACAATTTTAAATGTTGAAATTTACACAAAACTACAATGTTCCCAACATTAAATGTGCACATCATTTATTAAACATTAAAATTAAGATCTATATTTTGCTATCTGTTTGCAGTTATGTGTATGCATTTTATACTAAAGAAGGTTTTTTAGAACTTTTTTTTTATTCATTTTAATTAATATTCAGTAAAAATAAGCGTTAATATTACATAAATTTAGCTGTTTTTAACTTTCTGAGTATTTTAGGTCAAATTTTAGTTAGCTTTGTATTTTTTCACTATTTATTTGTATATGTTTTTATTAGAATTAACTAACAAGTGCTGCATGCATTATAATATCTTTGTTTGCAAAATTTAAAGATACTTAAAAATCCATTCACAAATGAGGATGAAAAAAATCGTTTTTAAGATAGGCTGTCTTATTAATACGAAAATATTTTAATATCTACTCGTCTAATTCATTACCCCTATCCCTCCCAGAAATATTGTGCATTAAAAATTGGGCTTTTGAACAATATTTTGTTTATTATCACGGAACGGTTAAAAGAAGTTTGATTGCTGTAAATAAAAGCATTCTAGAATAAAAGGTTAACATAAGCACTGCACATCTGCTCGCTGATAAATATATATTGATTTCTTCAGATTAGAAGCCCAACTATTATAACAAGAACGATATTAATGTCTAAAAACTGGAACACCTCTTAATTAAAACTAATTGACTAACCTCTTAATTAAAGTAACAGTAAATTTATTCCAAAAATCAGTAATAAATGTGTATTTTAATTTCTTTTAACCACTCGTATAGAATTATTATGTGAATATTTAAATTATTTCGTTCAAAAAGACAATGAATTGAAGCTAAGAATCCGCAAATAAATCATCAATCCTTCAGGAATCGTTAGGTAAATATTTTCTGCTTCTTTATATCGTAAAATATTGTCAAATATCTTCTACTCTTAAGAAATATGACCGTAAAATATATAGCCGTGAAAGATGTGTATTGTTTGCAGGGATTTGTGTTGGCGACCATTTTTTTCTAGTCGTCGCAATCTAGAACATTGATCCCTAAAATCGATTAATACGAATTTTAATATCGTTAGTATTGTAAAATAAAATCCATATTTAAGAATATATCACGATACTTTTTCAATTTAACTCATTGATATTATTACATTATTTTCACTTTAGTAAATAATTGTGTTATCTGTTATCTAATTAAAATCTAGCGGTACTTGTTTATTTTGCCCTCGATAAAGTCGCCAATTAAAAAAAATAAATTCTTTTTTTTAAATTTTTTTTTCGTACTTTCTATAAAACCGATCGCAAGTGAAGTGTCGCCAAAAAATGCATTCCTTCCCATTTTTTTTTCTTCATATTTTTACTTTATTTATTTTTTTAAACACATAAAAATTCAATAAATAAAGTAAATGGAATTTAAAAAAATATTTGAATTTTCTTGTGCCTGGCTAACTGAAAAGTACCTTATATTTTTATTTAAATAAATTGAATAAAAAATTTAAAAAAAGTAAATAAAATAGGTGATGTTACTTGCACCTGTGAAACACCGGCACTTACAATATTAGCGAAATCAGTAGCTATCGTTGTGCATATTCGAGATATTTTTTTATTGTTGACATTTTTGATCTCTGCTTTATCGTATTCGATAATTACAACTATTAATAATGTTTGCGACATTATCATATTCGATATTTGTTTTAACCGTTAATCATATTTGATCATACATGATCATATTTGATACATTCGGTAACCGGGAATTTGTTTAAATCAGAATCTGGCATTGTTCCAACGCGTTGGAGTACTTGGCTTTCTGCTTTCTATAACCGATAAATATCTTGATTACGTTACCTAGATTAATACGTAGATTAAGTTCGTTAGTGGCAGGCAATAAATTATTACCGACAAACTTTTAAAAATTAAATTTCTTCATTATTAGCGTATCATTAAAAACTCCTTTTTATGCATATATATATATGTATATATAATTTTATTTTGATGAAAATACTGAAGGTTGTTGCGCATTATAACTTTTTAATCTTATGTATGCTTTTTAATTGCTATGTATGGTTTTTCTTTCCTTGTCCATGTAATATCTATGTTCGATGGGTGCTTCACATAAGGTAGGTTTGCCCCGCTACTTGATATACAAGGTTTCTCTTGCCTTTTAAGTTTTCTTTAAAATTACAACAAATTTCGGGGGATTTAAAATTACAATGAAAGGATGAAATGTCTTCATTGTAGGTAATAAAAAAATTGAATAAATTTTGTTTTTTAAAGCAATTTCTGTTTCACAACGAGAAGCAAAGAGTAATTATAGGGATCCATGAATGGACTTAGCAGTGGGTGGAGTCTCCAAGTAAAATGACAAAAACTGAATGGAAAAAAAAAAGTGTCAAAGTAGGTAGGTAAGTTATGTACGTCACATTAAAGCAGCACAATGGGCTATTAGCGACGGTCTTTGAAACAATCCTGAGAATGATCCGAAGACACGCCATCGCAATTTTGATCTTCTGCAGAGGGACCACTTCCTGAATTTAGGCATAGACCTGAAGGGGAAGGAAATTTTCTCTAGATCTCTCTGCTCATGGTATTGTTAAGTGACCGACCACAGGACTTTCTATTCCAAATATTTTACGTGGCGCGTATATCCAAAGCCTCCTAGAGAAGTTCTCTAGGAGGCTTTGGTATATCGCATGTTCTCAGTAGATCTTAGTGGAATCGATCATCGAACCCTGACTCCTAATGACCGAGGTTCGATTCACTAACCGCTGGGCCAGTACACAATTTTCTTTTATAAATGTGGGAAAAATTAAACACATTTCAGTTTTAAAATGCTTCGAAGATGATCTTTAAAGAGCATTTTGAATAAAGAAGAACTAAAAAAAAAAAAAAAAGG